GGACGCTGCCAGTGGGGTTTCAGGAATTAAAACTTGAAAATATTAACTTGAACCTGTGCAACAAAAAAAAGTATGCTTTTCTTTTGTTGCCTGATTCTCCTCGTTCTCATTTTTATGTGACCTAGGCAAAACCTTTCTCCTCCTACTCTCTCTCCTCATCTCTCTCCCTTGTATGCTACTCTTTCCTGCCCCAACTCCTGATCCCACCTCTGCTCCCTCTGGACAAAAGATTCTCTTTGTTCCCCCTACCCACCTGCTAAGGTCTTTCTCTATCTCCTCTTTGCTCTGTATGTAATCTGTTGCTATGGGAACGACCCACTCAAAGTCTCAGGGTCTCACACCTCTTGCTTGTCTTATTAAATCCTTGAAACAACTGGAACTTTTATGCACAATCAGGCCAAAATGCCTGAAGTTCCTGTGCACCACTCCCTGGCCTCAGTACAAGTTACATAATAACTCTGTTTAGCCGGACACCAGAACCTTAGACTTCAATATTTTGAAAGATTTAGAAAACTTCTGCCATCGCAACAGCAAGCAGTCTGAACTACCATACATCCAAGCTTTCTTTGATCTTCATGCTAATCCCTCCCTCTGTGTCCCATGTTCTGCCCATCAGGTTCTTCTGGCTAAGACAGTTTCACCGGATCCCAACCTGCCAGGGGTGTCTGCTCCTCCTCCCCCTCCCTACCCCACCACCTCTGCTTTTGATCCTGCCATAGCTGACAAATTGCCCCCAATTAGAACCCATTCCCAACCTCCTCCTGCTCCCCACCCTGAGGCAGAGCCAAGTCCTCCCCCTGCACTCCCCTCACTATACCCTCCCTTGCCTCCATTCCAGGGCCCAGCCCAGTTCCCCTCCCTTCTCCACCTCAAACACCCTCTCCATGATCTTCTCCCTCCCCTCTCTGGTGCTCTGAGTCCATCACTCCTTCCACTGATTTTCCTTTATTTAAGGTAATCCAAAACCTTAAACACTTCCTTACCAAATATTCCCTATTCTCTCCTAGTCTGACTTCTACCTCAAATACCCTGTTTATCCCTCCTGTATCTACTTCCACTTCTATTCCAGACCCTGCCTCAGATACCCCTGCCCCCACATCCCCTCATGGACAGGACACCCCTCCCACCTCTCCCACTTCAGCTTCCTCCAGGACTCCCCTTCTCCTCTTCTACCCGCTCCCGACACCTCTCGTGTGTTAAGCCATACTCGCTCCCACACCCAGTCTCAATCCCATTCCCAAGGTATCTTTCCCCTCCGAGAGGTGGCAAGTGTGGATGGGGTCATCAAGGTCCATGTGCCTTTCTCTCTTGGAGATCTATCTCAGCTCAAACGCAGAATAGGCTCTTTTTCTGCTGATCCTACACACTTCATACAAGAATTTAAATACATTACTCACAGCTATGATCTAACCTGGCATGATCTCTTTATGAGTCTCCAGTCCACCCTCACCCTTGATGAGAGACATAGGGTCTGGAGAGCAGCACAGGAGTATGCTAATGAGCTTTATTCTGCTAACCAAACTCACCCTATTGGTACTGAGGCAGTTCTCCTTCAGGACCCTGGGTGGAATTACCAACCCCCACTGGGAGATCAGGCAGGACCTTCCCCATGTAAAGCAGCCAGGGGCCACATGATCACTTGCCTCCTGACAGGTCTTCAGAAAGCTTCACCCCCTAAGGTAGTTAACTTTGAGAAGCTTAGGTTGATTACTCAGGGCTCTACTGAAACCCCAGTTCAGTTTATGGACATATTTACTGATGCCCTGGTCCAGTATACCAAGTATGACCCAGAATCTACAGAGGGATGGTTTAAGCTTCACCACCACTTTATCTTACAATCAGTTCCAGATATTAGGAGAAAACTTAGATGCTTAGACAAGGGCCCTGAAACCCCCATGGGGAGATCTGTTGGACATGGCATTTAAAGTCTTTTATAACCAGGAGGAACAGGAGAAGGCAGACAAGCATACCCTGTCCAAGCAAAAGTACCAGCTTATGGCTGCAGTCCTAAGGGCTCCTCCCAAGAACACTTCAAACACCAATGGGGCCCAACGACATCCGCCAGGACCCTGCTTCAAGTGCAGAGCAACCAGACACTGGGAAGGCAATGCCCTAACCTGTGACCACCCCCTGGACCCTGTCATTTTTGTGGGCAACAAGGTCACTGGAGAGTCGATTGTCCTTCTTTGCAATGCCGTGGGAGGCCACTCACCTCCCAGACCCAGCCTCCTTTACAGGGTTCAGTGAACAACCTTGTGTGCCTGGTGGCTGAAGACTGATGATGCCCTGGCTTCTTGGCCCCGACTGCTTCTATGATTATTACAACGGAGGAGCCCAGGGTATCAGCCATGGTGGTGGCTAAGATTATTCATTTTATTCTTGACACTAGCACATCATGGTCAGTTCTCCCTTCCTACTCCAGTAAAGTTTTTCCCTCACAGATCTCCACAGTGGAGGTTGATGGGAAGCCTCACAACCCCAAATCGACAGGACCCTTAGCCTGTGTATTCTGGAAGGTGCCTTTAACTCAATCCTTCCCGGTTATGCCCACCTGTCCAACACCCTTAATTGGCAGAGATCCCATGCAAAACTCTCCCTGTCTATTTCTCTCCCCTTCTGCACACTCTTCCTCCTTTCCCCTATACCTCTCACTCCCCAAGCCAGATCATGGCCCCTTCCCCCATCCAAAGTAAATCCCAAGGTGTGGGACACCTCGGCCCCGGGGCTAGCCTCTCATCACACTCCTATCTGCATTTCCTTGAAGGACCCCTCCCTATTTCCTAGCAGATCCCAATACCCAATTGCATTCAAACACCGCTATGGACTTAAGCCCATAATTCAAAGGCTTATGAGAGCTAAAGTCCTTAAACCCACTCAGTCACCCTATAACACTCCCATTCTTCTGGTCCTCAAGCCTGATGGCTCTTACTGTCTGGTCCAGGATCTCTGGCTTATTAATTCAGCAGTTAGTTCCATTCACCTATACTAGTCGTTCCCAACCCCTGTACTCTTCTTTCTCACATCCCCTCCTCCACCACCTACTTTATTGTCTTAGACCTTAAAGATGCTTTTTTCTCAATACCCTTACACCCTGACTCTCACAACCTCTTTGCATTCACCTGGGAGGACCCTGACACTGGCATGTCTTCCCAACTAACCTGGACTGCTTTGCCCCAGGGGTATTGAGATAGCCCTCACCTCTTTGGACAAGCTCTAGCTCGGGATTTAACTTCCCTAGACCTTAACCACTCTACCATCCTACAACATGTAGATGACCTACTTCTTTGCTCCCCATCTCTCTCAGTCTCCAAGACTCACACAATCAAACTCCTTAATTTTCTGGGGGACAAGGGATATAGGGTATCTTCAGCTAAGGCACAGTTTTCTCTATCTCAATTCAAGTACTTGGGGTTCCTTCTCACACCTACATCCTGCCATTTAACTATAGATAGAACAAATTACCTAAGGTCTTTAAAGCCTCCCACAACCAAGGAGGAAAAGTTATCTTTCCTAGGCATTGCAGGATACCTGTGCACCTGGATTCCTAATTTTGCCCTCTTGGCAAAGCCACTTTATGAAGCCTCTAAAGGAAACTCCTCTGAGCCTGTAGACCCCTTAGGGCCTATTACAGCAGCATTCCACACTATCCGGGAAGCAGTCTTAAAGGCACTGGCCCTGGCTCTCCCAATCCTGGAATGTCCATTTCTTCTCTACACAACTGAAAATAAGTGCCAGGCATTAGGGGTTTGGGGACAGATGGGGGTCCCACTTTTGCCTCAGTAGCTTATCTCTCTAAACAGGTTGATACCACCATCCGGGGGTGGCAACCTAGTCTAAGGGCTCTGGCAGCTGCAGCTCTCCTGGCTCAGGAGGGACTGAAGCTTACTTAAGGTCAACCAATCTCTGCCCTTTCCCCCCACCACCTTAAGGATTTACTAATTCATGCATCTCTTGCCAATCTAGCTCCCTCTAAACTACAACTCCTCCATGTGATGTTTCTTGAAAACTCCTTGCTCACCCTTGATTCCTGCCCTCCTCTCAATCCAGCTTCCCACCTCCCTTCCAGTGAACCACTCACTCACTCACTCACTCACTCACTCACTCACTCATGCTTGGAAACTCTTCAGGAACTCTCCTACCAGGATCCCCTAAATTCCCCTAGATCCCCTACCAAACCCAACCCTGACTTGGGTTATGGATAGAAGTTTAACTCTCACCTCAACGGGGTCCCACAGGCCATAGTATCTCTCACAGATATCATTGAGTCAGGACCCGTACCACTTGGAACCACGTCACAAAAAGCCAAACTTGTGACACTCACCAGGGCTCTAATTTTAGCCAAGGATGACCTCTTCCTCCAGCATCCTTCCTCTCTACACAACTATTTACCTGTTTTCACCCTTCTAAGGAAACTACTCAGGGAACATGCTGACCAGATTTATTCCCCAGGCTTCTAAAGGCCAAATTGACCACCCACTTTAACCTGGAGATCACTCCTACCTGCAGGTTCACACCAAACAGAAAGGAGTGAAGGAAACCCTCCAGCCGCATTGGTCCTTACCTGGTGATCCTGTCTACCCCGACTGCAGCCAGGCTCTCGAAACAACCCGGTTGGGTTCACCTCTCCAAATTAAAACTGGCCAAGGAACACAGCAAGTACCATTTTTAGTTTTTTAAGAGTTCTCCATGCTGTTTTTCACAGGGGTTGCACAAGTTTGCATTCCGATCAGCAGTGAATGAGCATTCCCCTTTCTCTACATCCTCGCCACATTTGTTATCACTTGTTCTCTTGATCCTAAGCCACTCTGATTAGGGTGGTTTTAATTTGCATTTCCCTAATTACTAAGGATATTGGACACTTTTTGAGATGTTTCTTAGCCATCTTTTTTCTTTCTTTGAGAATTCTCTGTTTAGATCTTTAGCTCATCTTTTAATTGGGTTATTTGGTTTCTCAATTCTTTGTTTTCTGCTATTTTGTCTTTTTTTTTTCCAGAGCTGAGGACCAAACCCAGGACCTTGCACTAGCTAGGTAAGTGCTCTACCACTGAGCTAAATCCCCAACCCCAATTCTTTGTTTTTGAGTTCTTTAAATATTCTGGATTCTGTCAGATGTGTCACTGGTGAAGATTTTTTTCCCATTCTGTGGGTTTTCTCTTCACTTTTTTGATTGTTTCTTTTGTTGTACAGAGCCATTTTAGTTTAATGAAGTGCCACTTGTTGATTGTTGACCTTAATTCCTGAGTAACTTCTGTCTGATTTAGAAAATTCTTTCCTACACCTATATCTTGTAAGTTACTGCCAATATTTTCTTCTAATAGTTTCAGGGTTTCCAGTTTCACATTGAAGTATTTGATCCATTTGGAGTTGACTTCTGTACAAGGTGAAAGATAAGGATCTAGTTTCATTCTTCTGCAGGTGGAGATCCAGTTTTGCCAGCACCCTTTGTTGAAGATACTGTCTTCACTCCAGTGTGTGTTCTTGGCACCTTTGTCAAATATCAGGTGGCTGAAATTGCATGTACTTAGGTTTGGGTCTACAATGATGTTCCATTGACCTATGTGTCTATTTTTGTGCCAGTACCATACTGTTTTTATGACTATAGCTCTGTAGTATACTTTGAGATCTGGTATAGTGATCCCCCTGGTGTTGCTCTTTTTGCTCAGGTTTGCTTTGGCTATCTGGGGTCTTTTGTGCTTCCATATGAACTTAAGGATTTTTTTTTTCTTATTCTGTGAAGTACGTCATGGGGATTTTAATTGGTATTGCATTGAATCTATATATTGCTTTTGGTAGGATCATCATTTTCACAATATTAATTCTTCCAATCCATGAGCATGGGAGGTCCTTCCATCTCCTGGTGTCTTCTTCAATCTCTTTCTTTAATGATTTAAAATTTTCATTGTAGAGATCTTTGATGTCTGTCTTAGTTTGTTTCTTCATTGCTGTGACAAAACACTCTGACCACTGCCAACTTGGGGAGGGAAAAGTTTATTCAGCTTACATCTCCTGGGTGACAATTCATCAGGGAACCCAAGGGAGGAACTCAGGGAAGAAACCTGGAGGCAGGAACTGGAGCACAGGCCATGGAGGATCACTGCTTACTGACCTGCTCCCCTGGCCCCTGCTCAGCCTGCTTTCTTATGTAACACAGGCCCACCTGCCCAGAGGTGGCACCACCCACAGTGGGCTGGGCCCTCCCACATCACTCAACAATCAAGAAGATGCCCCATGGACATGGCCACAGGCCAATCCAATGAAGGAAATTCTCCAATTGAGGCTCCCTCAACCCAGGTGAGTCAAATTGACACTAAAGCTCTCCAGCACAGTGTCTTTGGTCAGATTTATTCCAAGATTTTTTTTTTTTGCAGCAATTGTGAGTGGGAGCATTTTCTTGTATTATTTCTCCAATTGATTTTTATTGGTACATAGAAAGGCTACTGAGTTTTATAGATTGATTTTATAACCTGCCACTATACTGAAAGTGTTGATCACTTCTAGGATTTTCTGGTGGAATTTTTGGCATCCCTTAGATATATTATCATATCATCTGCAAAAAGGGATAATTTGAGCTCTTCTTTTCCAATTGTTACTCCTTTAATTTCCTTCTCCTGTCTTATTGCTCTAGCAAGAGTTTCAAGCACTATGTTGAAAAGGAATGGAGATAGTGGACATCCTTCTCTGGTTCCTGATTTTAATGGGAATGCTTCCAGTTTTTCTCCATTTAGAATGATGTTGGCTGTGGGTTTGTTGTATATAGCTTTAATGATGTTGAGGTACATTCCCTCCAGTCCAGTTCCCTCTAGGACTTTGAACATAAATCATGCTGAATTTTGTCAAAAATCTTTTCTGCATCTATTGAGATGATATTGTGGTTTTGGTTTTCAAAAACTATCTTCTTGTTGTCTGCAAGAAACCCATCTAGCTTACAGGGATAGGCACTGCCTTAAGGTTAAAGGATGGAAAAGAATAGTCCAAGCAAGTATCATATTGTCTGTAAAACGGGATAATTTGACCTCTTCCAATTAGTACTCCTTTAATGTCTTTCTCTTGTCTTATTGCTCGAGCAAGAGTTTCAAGCACTATGTTGAAAAGGAATGGAGATAGTGGACATCCTTGTCTGGTTCCTGATTTTAACAGAAATGCTTCTAGTTTTTTTCAATTTAGAATGATGTTGGCTGTGGATTTGTTATATATAGCCTTAGTTATGCTGAGGTATGTTCCCTCCAGTCCAATTCACTTTAGAACTTTTATCATGAATGCTTACTGAATTTTATCAAAAGCCTTTTCTGCATCTATTGAGATGACAATGTGTTTCTATTTTTTTATTGGTCTTTGAGTCCATTTATATGATTGATGGTATTTATTGACTTGCATGTATTGAACCATCCCTACATCTCTGAAATGAAGCCTACTTGATCATAGTGAATGATCTTTTTGATTTGTGTCTGTATGCAATTTTGCAAGTATTTTGTTGAGAATTTTTGCATCTATGTTCATTAAGGATATGCTTCTACAGTTTTCCTTTTTGGTTGTTTCTTTACTTAATTTTGGTATTAGAGTGATTCTGGCTTCATAGAAGGAATTTGGGAGTTCTCCCTCTGTTTCTATCATTTTGAATAGTTTAAGTAGTATTGGTTTCAGGTCTTCTTTAAATGTCTGGTTGAATTCTGCTGTAAATCCATCTGGGCCTGTGCTTTTTTTAGTTGGGAAGTTTTTTATTACTGTTTCAATTTCCTATAAGTTATGGGTCTTTTTAAACTGTTGATCTCTTCTTGGTTTAACTTTGGTGGTTCCCATGATTTTAAATAGCCATCCATTTCTTTTAGGTTTTCAAATTTTATAGAGTATAGATTTTTAAAGTATTCCCTTATAATGTTCTGGATCTGTCTGTTGTGGTGTTTCCCCTTTCAATCTCTGATTTTGTTGATTTGAATTTGCTTTTTCTTTCCTTGGTTAACTGGATTAAGGATTTGTCTATCTTGTTTAGCTTTTTAAAGAACCAGCTCTTAGATTCATTGATTCTTTGTATTGCTTTCTTTGTTTCTATTTCATTAATTTCTGCTCTGATTTTTGTTATTTCTTTTCTTCTGATGGATTTTTTTAATACAATCAATATTTTATTATACTTAATTTGGTCAAGGTGTTGCATACTTCTAGTTTATAACATATGTAGCTTTATGATTTGCTTATATGAAATAATTTTAGATATACAATGAACAGTACCCTTAATGGAGTCGCATTTTCATAAATTGGACCATTTGTTTACATCAGTATTACCTTGTCTTTACCATATATTTTTTTTTATGATTTGTTCTTATTCTTTACCTTAATTTGAGGGAGTTCAAGAAGATACTTGTTTTTTTTTTTTTTCATACAGAAGAATTCATTCCAAAGCAATTGACATTGAGACGATTTCACATGCATTTCCAATCTCTATATACATGACTATCACTGGTCACAGTCGCCCACCTTCTGAGC